AATCAATTTCCTTTCACCTCTCTCTCTCTCAATCTCAATCTCTCGCTTCTCACATCTTTCTCTCTCTTTATACCACTGTAATGCCGATGTAGTCCACCACTGCTACCGGCGATGCAATGCTGCTCAATGGTGGTGGTGGTTTGTGGTGTGATTTGGGTGGCGGCGGCAGTGGTTTGTGGTGGTAAATGTGCAGCGCGGTGATGCGAAGCGGTGATGGCGGTTCGCTGCGACGGCTCTTTGCAAGCTAGCCATGAAGTTGAGATCTGAGCTAACGTCGTTTCTACAGCGACAATAAATGTGCTTCACTACCCACGGGCAACCGCGAGAGTCCTCTGGCCGGTGCGATCTGAGCGACGGTCCTTTTTAACGACGTGGCTGCAGCGGAGCATCATCACCGCTACAGCAATAGCCGATTTATGGCTGCGATGGTTTGGGCGATCTAGTTTTTGGTGGTTTTTGGGCGGTGATGGTGGTGGGCGTGTGTGCCGTTGTTGGTGGTGGTACTGGAAAATGAGGTGAAAATCTAGAGTGATGGGTTGGGGTAGTTGGTGGTGCTGACGGTGGCTGTGTCTGTGGGTGCGGTTGTGGTGCTGTGGATGCGATGGTGGTGTCCCGATCTGTGGTCATGGCAGTGACTGTAATTATATTTGTTTTTGCGATGGGCTGATTTGTTTCAAGTAGTGGATGTGGTGGCGGTAGCGATAGCAGTTAGACGGTGAGGTGGTGCCGACTCGCTGAGGTTGTGTTTTTGTTTTTTATGGTGGTGGTGCGGTGCGGACGGCAATTGTTTGAACCTGTGGTGTGATTCGTGACCAACTGTGACCGCAAAATGGACTATTTGTGACCTTAAAATTCTACAATTTGTGACTTAAAATTAATCAGTGACCTTAAAATTCGACAATTTGTAACTAAAAATTAATCTGTGACATGTAATTTTTTGATCCGTGACCAATAAAATAATCTGCGACCTTTAAAATTATTGATTTGTGACCACAAAATAATCCGTAACCTCCAAAAATTTTGATTTGTGACCGATATACAAATTGTGACCTATAAAAGTTTTGAACTGTGTCCTCGAAATAATTCGCGACTTATAAAATTTTTGATTTGCGACCTCAAAAATAATATGTTACCAATTAATTATGTACATATGACCATTAATTGTATAATTATGACATCATTATAATTAATAAATTAATTAATTAAATCATAA